GAGTCTTGTGGATATCATCTGGATTTTTTTGCGTCTTGATTCTATACTGGCTTATCGGATCCATTTTTTGATTTCACATGCCTCATTCTTTGAAACCAGTATTTTTCTTAATTCCTTATTACCTCAATACTGTATTGTATAATCAACATGGCTTCTTATGAAGTCTACATATCAGGACCCTATTCTCAAGAGGCTTACTTCAAAATCCTTATTTTATTATTTTTTTAGTTTTATTTCATGTCCTACCTTTTTTCTGCACATAGGTTGGCCTAGGCAACGTCGAGATCAATGTTGCTGCCCTTGAAATGATCCAGAACACTGGTTGGAATTGTGCCGGCGTCTTTATTTTCTTCACCTTCCAATATGGGATTCCAGGTCTCCCTACCCCTCAGCGAGTCTTCTATGTGTGTTATGGATGTGCTATTGTACTTTTTGCATGTGTCTATCCTGTTCAAGCATTCACAAAAGCCCTCCTTCTACAGCTAAGCTTGCCTGGTGCGGGCCGTGACTCATGGGCGCGGCACGTTAGACAATTGATATTCTGCCTTGGAGTTGTCGTCGCCTCCCTTTACATTCTCGTCTTTATGATAAACTATTTACCTCCTCCACCGCCTCCCCCTTCTTCAGCCACTGTGACCTCCTACTTTCCATTGGCCTTACGCAATACCAGTCTTGCTGTCCGATTGGCTACTGCAAGTCGCAGCCAGTTCACCACAAATGTCACTACTGAATCAAATTCTGAGATGACCGAACATAATCGTTTCATTTCGCCCACTCTCTCGCCTCTCTTCTTTCTTCCTAACGTCTCAATTACCACTATAATGAAAGTTCCTCGATTTCGAATGTATCTTTGTGCCAGCCAGGTTCTAAACAATCTCGCGTTCACTTTGTTTGATTATGCTATCCATCAGCAGGTCCGCAGGCAGCCTCGATGGGCCGGATTTCTAACCTGTCTTTTTTGGTCACGGCTACTTTATTCCGTCATTGAGTATTTCATTTCACTATCATGCTTTCTTTTAGTCTGCTGGTTAGCTATCTACGACGCTTGTGGCATAAGCCGCTTATTCATTATCGTCTGTCACTTCGGTCTAGTAATCTACCCTGCTGCAGCACGTGGACTAGGCTGGGCCTACCGGCGAATGGTATTTGCCAAGCACCTGGCGAGCTTCGCCAGTCCCAGTGCTCAGCAGCTTGAGGCGTTGGCTGATATGTGCCCGATTTGTCACACTGAGATGACACCAGAATCAGCAAAAGTAACGAGGTGCACTCATGTATATCACACGGATTGCTTAGCTATGTGGATGCGCCGGCGGCCTGTTTGTCCCGTATGCCAAACAGATCTGCTTTCTACAAACGTTACGAGTCAGCGTCGGCTGTTTACCGACTTGGCCAGCCCAGAGGCAACAATGCAGCCCGCTGAAACACAAGCGAATGGAGCTTCGGATATTGATGAATATTATGTCCACGCTCAGCCTCTTACCAGACCTAGTCATTAGTAAACTGCCACCATGTTTTCGATTGATGTTTATAGCATTTC